TGCTGACTGCAGCAACATGGATGGACCTGGAGATGGTCACACTGAGCGAAGGAAGTCAGATAGAGAAAGACAAATATCACATGGTATCACTTTTATGTGACATCTTTTTAAAAATGAGACAAATGAACTGATTTACAAGATAGAAACAGAATAACAGACGTTACCAAAGGGGAAAGGAGGGGAGAAGGGATAAATTAGGAGTTTGGGATTTACAGATACACACTAATACATACAAAATAGATGAGCAACAAGGTCCTACTGTACAGCACAGGGAACTGTATTCAATATCTTGTAGTAGCCTGTAGTGAAAAAGAACATGTATATAACTGAATCACTATGCTGTACAGCAGAAACTAACACAACATTGTAAATCAACTAACTTCAATTTTAAAAAAGAACCTGCCGTTGAAAGGTGAGATGGGCAGGAACAGCCAGAGACACTGTGACAGGTGTGTCCCTAAGGACTCCCCGGCCCCTCCCCCCCCAACCAATCAGCTGTACAGAGGCCACTGGGAACGGAACACCCTCTGCACCTCCGAGCGACCCTGGCGACCACTCTGTTCCTTCTGGAAAGCCACTTCCCTAGGGTTAATGACACGTCCTCTTGGGTCCCCCCGCCTGTCACCCCTGCCCCTCCCTCTTGCTGCCCCTCCCCCATACTGTCCTCAACACTGTTCTTCCCTCCCTGCACCTCTCCTGGGACCTCTCCTTGCCCCCTGTCTTCAGCCAGCACTCTGAACCCCCCGCCAACATCCCAGGGACCCCAGGGCTGGCACCACTCTCTGGCCCCAGCCCCTGGCTGACCACCACTACCTGGCCAGTCAGAATTCTCTGCCCCGCCCCAGGGCCCGCCTGACCACCCACTCCAGGCTGCGGGTGGTCACTGCGTTCCCCTCTCTTGCAGCCTTGTCAGATGGCCCCGTCAGTTCTGCCCACTCTTCAGGGACAGCTCAGATGCCACCCTCTCCTGGAAGTCCAGCCTGAGGCCCCCCCACCCTCCCACCTCATCCCTCAGGCAGGAAATACTTTCCTCTCTGCATCTCCGTGCACTGTTTCCTCCCTTCCTAGTTACCTTACTCGGGTTTAGCTCCTCTCCTGGCCATAAACTCTTCACAGCAAATCCTGGCTCTTTCCGCGTAGCCGTCCCCAGCAGTCCCCAGCCAGGGCCACAGACTGAGCTGCCCTCAGCCTCCAGGTGCTGAACTGGAGACAGAAAGAATGGCATCTCTCTGCTGCCGCGGAGAACGGGGCCTGCTTCGCCATCACACACTGCCGTCCCCCGCGCTCACCACCAGTGAAGCGCGCCCGTGGAGCTCCGTTTTAGAGAACTCGTGCAAAACTACTTTCCAAGCTTTTGCGGAGCGTGGGAGGGAAACACAAAAATTATTTCTACGTATTAGGTAAGTGCCCTCCATCTCGTCACTCAGACGAGAGGAAAGGAAGACAAAGACGCGCAGTAACTGTGATACGGGCACATTCAGAGCTGATCAAGGAGCCCAGCAGCCGAGCGAAGGCAGCCAACACGACGGCAGTGGCGCTGATCACGGCTCCCTCCAGGACTTCGTTCCGCTCACCCTGTGATTCCTCAGCGCCCAGTGTGCTCTGCTCACATTCAGGACCATGGAAGACACTCAGGCCCCAGCCCCACCCTGGGCTTGAGGGGGTGGACAATGTGGCCGACCTAGTAAACTCAGGTCCTTCTACTATCAAGCGCCAGGTTGGCTGCCCCTGCCCACAGGCTGGAAACCAGGACAGAAGACAGCAGTCAGGCTACCGCCACCTGGACCTCGGTTTTCCCCCTTTCTCCCTAAGAATCACTACTGAACACTTCCGTGTACCCTGCTGTCCATCTCACACTCCTCTTTCCAAGCTTTCAAAGGGCGTAGTGCTGCCCCTGACAGACACAGGGACCCCTGCCCCCTCCCCCCAAATGCCAGAGGTGAGTTATTGCAGGAATGCGCTTTAAAATTATGAGTCTGGGGAAATGCTAGGGGGAGGGGTGAGAGAGAAGGAATGTGTTAGATACCCAAGGAGACCGACAGCTCCACCTTGAGCCCTGACAACAAATCAAAGGTGTCACACAGCCTGCTGAGACAGGAGGCGTGCCCCGGGTGAGAACTGCCTTCAACACATCCATCGCGGCTCAGGCTGGGGTCATGCCGCGGAGTTATGGCCTTGAGGAGTCCCAGCCTAAGGACCATGTATTTCCTAGGCAGGGTCTTAGAGCCTCTTCCTCTGCCTTTTTAAGGTTCTGCAGCGGTGCACAGGAAAGCTCCTTTGGTGAAGTCCCTGCTCTTGGCCGGGCCGTCTGGGGTGGGGAAGAAAATGCTGGTCCACGCCATCTGTACCGAAACGGGAGCCAACCTCTTCAACTTGTCCGCAACTAACATTGCCGGGAAATACCCCGGCAACAGCGGCCTCCAGATGATGCTGCATGTCGTCTTCAAGGTATTTATCCCATTTCTTGGCCTCTGGTTCCCCTCCCTCTCTCAGATTACATTTTCCAATGCTGCAGTTAATTTCCTTAAGTCAACTAGCACAGACACCCGCAGATAATTTCCTTAGGCTGATACGCATCTCCCTTTTCAACTTCCCCCCACTGCATCCTCCCGTAAATGATTTTATTATTGCATCTGGCTGAGTGTCCAACAACTAGACACAGCTTCTTTCTTTGCAAAAATACCATACTGTGCCACTCAGATCAGCTTCCTTCTCTTAGAACGACAATCTCCAGGTCCATCCATGTTGCTGCAAATGGCATTATTTTATTCTTTTTTATGGCTGAGTAGCATTCCATTGTATAAACATACCACAACTTCTTTAGCCAGTCATCTGTGGATGGACATTTAGGTTGCTTCCATGTCTTGGCTATTGTAAATAGTGCTGCTAAGAACATTGGGATGTGTGTGTCTTTTTAAATTAAAGTTCCCTCTGGATATATGTCCAAGAGTGGGATTGCTGGATCACATGGTAGGTCTGTTTCTGGTTTTTTGAGGAATCTCTATACTGTTTTCCACAGCGGCTGCACCAAACTGCATTCCCACCAGTAGCATAGTAACTGACTATATTTCAGTAAAAAAAAATTTTTAAAAAAAAGAAGAAAATAGGCCAACATGATCAGGCTCCTTCTGCCGCAGGAACCCTTCCTGAAATGCTCACCTGTCTCCTTAAACATCAAATCCACCGTTTCTTTTTCCAGCCCACCTCCCTCCAATAATGGCATCACGTATTTGCATTTGGGGTTATTCTTTCTCACGTGGCATGAACTACAGTCAGCCCCTCACAGAGGTTGTAAGCGGGAACCCATGGGAGCTGCGCTGACTGCAGTGGTGTGGACATCCACTTACATCACAGTGCCAGGGGACACGGGGCCCTCGAAGGGCCCTATGTGACCCAGCCCTGCGAGCTTAGTCAGCCCTTCACCTCCCTGGGTCTCCATTTTTATCATCACCAAAATGCATGAGTCAAACCAAATGATACTGTGTGTCAGCTCGAAAAGCAGTGATTCTCTGCTACGGTTTAGATATAAATGATGGTGGTGATAGAAGACGATGATAAACAGAGAGATGGACGAATACACAGTACACACACATGCCCACAAGGATCACCGAGGTCTAGAGCACACTGACACTGAGTATTTATATTCAATATTAAAATTTCACAGGAGTCCAGTTAAGCTGGGGCTCTGAGAGGTTAAGTAGGATGCCCACGGCCACCGAGAACAAGTGGCCGAGTGGGGTTCAAACCTAGATCTTTCTCTCCTGTCCCCTCCTGCACTGTTTTTATTAAGGTAAATTTACGTACAGTGACGTGCACAGATCTTCAGTCTGCATTTTAAGTGTGACGTATACAACTGCGTCACCACCATTTTCATGTGCTTTTCGGTCCTTCTATAATTTCTTTTTTGAGATACCTGTTCAAGTCATTTGCCTGCCTGTCACTGACCGCTGGTCTTGAGATTGGTAAGAGTTCTTCATATATCCTGGGTGCAGGCTCTTTGTGGGGCACACATATGGCAAGCGTTTTCTCTCGTTCTGTGACTTGTTTTTTCAGTTTCAGATTTCTGTAGTTGTTGTTGACTTGTCCTATCCGTTACTGCAAGGGGGTATTAAAACCGCCATCTGTGATGGTGGAATTCTCTATTTCTCCTTTTAGAGTGCATGCCCTGCATGCGTGAGGTCCTGGGTTCAATCCCTAATACCACCATTAAAAATAAATTAATTAAGAAACCTAATTACCTCCACCCCCCCAAAAAAACCAAAGACTTTCTCCTTTTAGTTGTCAGTTTTCACTTCACGCACGTTGCAGCTCTGTTACGAAAGAGATGCATCCACATTTAGGACGCTGTGTCTCCTGGTGGGTTATTTTATCATTATGAAATGTCCCTTTTTGTCTCTAGTAGTACTTATCCTGAAGTCGTCCTAGTCTGATATGAACACGACAGCCACACCAGCTTGCTTTATCCTCTCTTATTTTCAGTGTCTTTATAATTAAAGTGCCTTTTTTCTGGAGAACACATAATTGTCTTGCTTTTTAATCCAATCTGACAGTATCTGCCACTGAATTGGAGTGATCGCTGTCTTTACGTGAAATGCGTTTATTCACATGGATGAGTTAGGCCTCCTGTTTTGCTGTTTATTCTCCATTTGTCCCATTTCTTTCTTATTCTTCTGTTCCTCTTTTCCTGCCTTCTTTTGGGTTAATTCAGTACTTTGTAGCATTTTATTTGAATTCCTCTATTGTCTTTTATTTTTAACAATGACTCTTTTTTTTTCAGTGATTGCTTTACAAATTACAATAGTCATTTTTAGCTTCTCACGGTCTGCATAAGGTCAATACTGTGCTATTTTACTTAAAATGCGAGGATCTGACAATGTAATTTGTTATCCCTTGTCCCTTGTGTCTTTATCATACATCTTACATCTAGAAATGTTATGAACAACGCAATAGAGTGATACTGTTTTTGCATTAAACAGTCATTTGTCTTTTAAAGAAATCGGGAGGAAAAATTTAGTATTTTATACATATCCACTTATTTACCATTTTCAGTATTTTCCACTCCTTTCTGTTAAGCCAGACCTCCATGTGGGGTCATTTCCCTTCCAGCTGAAGAACTTCCTTTAACATTGCTTTTACTGCAGGTCTGCTGGCAACAGATTTTCTTAGCATTCATTTTACTTTTAAATGTTTTACATCACTTCCATTTTTGAAGGATATTTTTGATGGATATAGAATTCTGTGTTGGCATGGGGTTTTTTTTTGAGCACTTTAAAGATGCTATCCCACTGTCTTTTTAATCTCCATTATTTCTGATGAAAAGTTATCAAAAGTTCAAATTACTGATCTCCTGTGTGTAATGTGTCTATTCTCTGAATAGTTGTAAGGTTTTCTCTTTATTTGGGTTTCCATCCATTTGGCTATGATGTGTTGCGGTATTTTTGTTTTTTCTTTGTCCTTTTGCTGCTTGTGGCTCACTGTGCTCATTGAAACTATATGTTTTAAAACAAATTTGGGAAATTTTGGCCATTATTTCCACAAATATTTTTTTCTGCACTTTCTCTTCTCTCCTTCTGAGACTCCAATTACATGTGTATTTGACTGCTTAGTGTTGTTCCACAAGGCACTGAGGTTCTGTCTCTCCAGTTTCCACACTGGATAATTTCTATTCATCTATATTCAGATTTCCCTGCCCTTTCTTCTACTGTCTTCAATCCGCTACTAAATAATCTTGTGGATTCTATTTTGTGTTTCTGATATTTTGCTTTTCAGTTCTAGGAATTAAATTTGCTTATTCTTACAGGTTTTTATTTCTCTCCTGTAATTCTCCATCTGTTCACTCAGTATAGCTATCTTTTCTTTTAAGTCCTTGAACTCAGTAGTTACATTCTGGTCTTTATCTGCTAATTCCAGTACTGGGTCATCATGGGGTCTGTTTCTGTTTCACGGCTTTTCTTCCTGACTGTGGGTCACGTGTTTCTGTTTCTTCATATGATGAATAATTTTTATTGTCTGTTGGACATTGTGGATGATACATAGCTGACACTCTGAAGCACGCTAGGCGTTGTTCTAACAGGCAGTTAAATTACTGGCTGATCAGCTTGAACTTGCAGAGGCTTTGTTTTCCATTTCATTAGCGTGAGTCTGTTATGATTTTGCCTTTAGTCCTGGAACACTGTCTGTACTTTGAAGTGTCAGTGGAAAGCTCGAGGTGTTTACCCAGCCCTTTTAACTTGGCAGAAGCTAAGGTATGCGCTTAGTTATTTTAGTTTTCCAGCTGTTGCTGTCCACTGAGCTTCCTGGAATCTTCCCCAACACTTGCACACTTCCGGGGTTAACCCAGGATTTGAAGGTGAGCTGGAATTTGAAGCCCAGGAGCCTGACTTGTGG